CTCTGCACCTTGCTCACCTCTGCGCATCGTGCCTATGTCCTGGACAAATTGCTTGAGGGAATAGGGAAAACAAACCAGCCCAATTTAATGGAGGAAAAAAAAAAAGGAAAAACCCCAAACCAAGATAAAAAAACCAACCCAACCCCACTTACAGGCTTCAGGCACCACAAAGACCACTTATTGCATCTCTAGTCCTACCTTATGGGTGCAGTACTGATCGGCTCTGTGCGGGACGAGCCCTCCCCCTCCCGAGCACCGGCCTCGATATCCAGAAGCCAGGCACGGGCAGGGGCTTGGGCTGACCTGGGGCGCCCAGCCGCAGAAAAACAATGCGAAATTTTGTATCTGAATACACTAAAACCGAGGCCTGGGAAGCAACTGAGTTGAGCCCAGGAGAAGGCTCCCCCGCTGTGGAGCCCCCCGGCTCTGCACTGACCCTTCCTCTCCGCCATGCCTGATGCATCCCCAGCGGGGCCCGGCTGGCTGGGTGCCCCCGGCTGAGCGGGAGATGGAAGAATTCCACTTCCTTTGCTTTTTTTTGTTTGTTTGTTTGTTTTTTTGGATTGATCGTTTTCTGAAAAACATCAGCACAGCACAGGACAGTACTACCCACCCTAAATGTGTCGCTATATACATTCTACATAAGCTCTATAGCAATCACATGTAAACATCATCGTTGTGAGGAAATACTAGGACAGAAAAAGGCAAAGCTACAATGAGGCAATTGCCAATAGCAGATGCTCAGTCTCGGCCAGAGCGACTCGCGTTTGCCAAGGTGGGATGAGCAGCGGGAGGGAGCTTGCAGCGGGAGAGACGCCGAACCTTGCTGAGGCGACCGAAATGGCACACGGACCGTTCCCTGACAGCGATCGTCACCAGCGGCAGGCTGGGGACCCACAGTTCGAACCCACCGGTGCCTGCGGGCCCTCGCACTGCCGGGCGGGCTGTCGTCAGCACCACGGCGTCCCCGAAGACAGGGGGAACAGCCGGGTAGCTGTGCTGGTGTCGGCCCTGCCAGTGTTCCTGCTCCTGCCAGAGACCAGCCGCACACACGGCTCCAGAGCCGACGGCCACCACGGGGGGCTCAGGCTCTCGGCATCGCACCTCGTGCAGTTTCAGAGGCTTTGGTCATACTCCCTGCAAGACGAAATAGTACCCATGCCAGGGAAATGAGAGTAAAACCCCTAAGTGACGTCGAGGGGAGACCCCCGGAGACTCTAATCTATCTACTGGCAGAGTTAAGGCTATAATATTCTATCTACATAGGATGGCTGAATCCCTAGTGGTCTCTGGGTCTGAAAAACAAATGGAGGCGATGGCAATGGCTTGAGGAGCGGCGAGATCCCCGCTCCCTCGGGAAGATGGTGCCGCTGGCTGGCGGGCGGTTGGGTTGCTGCAGCTG